TTTATTAAAAAAATGGATTAAATTGCTTAATAATATTAGCCGAAATTGTAGATACCAGCTCGCATGACTAGCTACCCATTTTAACTATTAAAATCCTGTCCTATAGTATCTTTAACACTATTCCACTTATCACTGTTGAACGGGTCCGCTATCTACGATTCTATATGGCCAAACGCTTTATTTAGAATACTCATACAAGACTGAAACGACGTTTTCGTATATTTCAACAATTTCTAGAAAAAATTCTCTATACTTCCTATTAACTATAAAAGACTTGTTTACTTGCCTATAATAAGGCCTATTTGGACTGATGGAGTTGAGCTGTGGGCTCCACAAAACCATCAAATTCCGCTGACATCCAATCCTTACAATCCAAAATCTTCAATACCTCTTACTATGTCACAAATAAGATTATTCTTAACTGTAAATTCCGTTTTTCCGAATAAAGAGGGAGTAAAAAAAAGTCCTTTATAGGCGTTGATGACGTCGGGGTTTTACGCCTCAAAACCCTAAAATAACAACAAAAAAAGTCCAGACTCCTTAAAAGGGAATCATTACTAATTTGATACACACACAAATTATCAATGTTCTGCTTGATTTGGAGATGTAAAATTTATCGAAACGTAGAAAACCCTGGAAAACACTTGGGGGAGAGAGAGGGGGGCAAGAGACAATAAGATGAAATTCCTAAAAGGTATTTCTGTAACACCACGTCAAACATTTTGCCTGCTACTTCGAAAAAGTCAAGAATCTTGAAAATGTAAACACGTGAAAATAGCGAAATTACGAAAATAATTGTGAAAATTTCTAACGCAGCGAAAATTGAAAATCACAAAAATGACTATATTTGAGAAAATCGCAAAAAAAAAAATCTAATTGGTGAAAACGAAAAATATCCTCAAACTGACAATGTAACGCAACCTAAATCAAAATCTGACATTCCTATTCAACCTAACTCAATAATTTCGGACAATATTAAATTTACCTAATTTAATTATTTAAAAAAAAATATATAAATAAATGAAATATTTTCATTCATAGCTATAAGAAAGAAGGAACATACACAACTTACATGAAGGCACTGATATGGGTGACTTATGATTTTTTTTTATCAAAATAGCCTCTTGAAGTGGATGTATCATGTTATAAGTAGACCTATTAACAAGTAAGGTAATAATGGCTGGGCAGAAGCAAAGTGGGGAATATGATAGATCTACTAATTCTACTGGGCTAGATGAGGCACTGGGATCTCCTGTAGTCATAGGCGGATCTACGGGGGAGGGGAGGTTTCGGACTAAAGGGCCTCCCCCCTCATAGAAAATGGTAAAATATAACCATGTTTTCGTAAAAGATATTTAAAACATGTATAGTTGTTCTTCTGATTACATTTAACCTATTAAATAGTCAAGAATAAATTAAATACCATTCCATATAGGTAGTTAGTTTCTTTCTTTTTCTTTTAAAGTAATTATCATAACATATGTAAAAAAAAAATGTTTGGGCTGAGGCTCCTTCAAATTAAATCCTGGATCCGTTAGTGCCTGGAGTCCTGCTTTGCCTTTCACTTTTGGAGAACAAATCATGGCTCAGTGTTCCCTGGGCGAATGTAAATATTGTACATAGGAATGAATGTGTTCAGAAGAATACTTTATTTTTACTTATTGATTTATTTCATATTTTATTTATGTAAGTTATTTTAATTTTTTAATATTTTTCTGTTTTTTTTTTTTTACTTTTTTATATTTATTAATAAGTCGTACACTCTACCTTACCCCATGACCTTAATATCCCATTTGTCCTAGATCTTATCCCATCAAAATTCTCCAAATTCCATCAGAACCTTACCCACTCCATCCCAAATCCCTTTGCACAATCTCTATCCAGCACCACCCATCCATATAATCCTCCAAGGAGGTTAAAACGGCAGTGGCCCCGCGACCTTTTATAATTTGTAAATATTGGAGTTCTGGCAATGGCCAGATTCTTCACTCACGACATGAGTGTATGTGGCTTAAGCACTCTTGCTCAATCTCCACTGGGTTAACCCCAGTGATGCGGTTGAGAGAGAAGTGCTGGGATCTCCTGGAGACATGCTTTTCCCACCACACTTGGAGGGACAAGTCTGGTTTGGAGTTCCCTCACCAGATTGTAAATATTGTATATAGGTATGTATGTGTTCTTTTTATTCATTTATTTTTAGGTTATTTTATTCTTATTTATTGTATATATGTTATTTTTCTGTATAATTTATTTTATTTAATGCACATAGAGTGTGAATGTGATCTGTGAACACTATTATGAATGTCCTTGAGACATATTGTAATATTTTTCAATAAATGAGATTAAAAAAAAAATAAGTCGTATAAAAAAAAAAATTACCGCTTTTCAACCAAATATTTAAATATTATTTCTTTGATATAAAATACAATTAATACTCACAGTATAATCCATTGTTATCTGCCGTCATCAGCCATCTGCTTGCCAATCTCTCGATCTCACGCTGATAGTATTCTTTGGGATGGCTGTCAAAGAATTCTTGTACCGCAATTTCAACTTCCGCAAAAATTATCAATTTTTTTCTCTTGCTGAAAATGTGCCATGGATCTAAATAAGTAGTAATCCAATGGTGTGAGGTCTGGACGATATGGCGGATGAGGTAGGGGTTCGAGTTCTAGGGTTTTTCAATAAAGTTTCACAAATTTCTAACTAAGAGTTCAAAATCAGCAAAGAGAATTTCTGAGGAGTAAGTTCGTGAGTAAAGTGACCAGTCTACTGTTCTTTTTTTCACCTTCCCCATGGAGAGTAGATGGCGAATAACAGTATCTCCCGACACACTACACTCCCTGACAAGTTAGTAAGTACTTGAGGACGGATTTTACTCAACAGCTTTCCGAAGAACCTCAAAAATATCCATTAATGGTCGCCTGGAGCTCTTCTTCCTTTCCAACGTCGTATCTCCACTGCTAATAGCAGTGCGCTGGTCAAGGACACCTTCGCCTTTAATTTTTTTTCCAGCAATGCCTTAAAATTCCGAGAATTTCGTAGGACACTATCATGTTTCTTCTTTGAAACAAATAACTAAACTGAGGCTTTTTTGAAAAAGTCAACGGGATTAAATAAGCTTAGAGAATGCTCTAAAGGGATTATTAAGTATTAGTAAGTATTAAATAGGATTAAAATATTTACAATCCTTTGAAATCTTGAATTTGATAAAACGGTCATATTTTGTTTATACATTCTATATATATATATATATATATATATATTATATTTATTTATTTCCCTATTATTCTTACATATGGTATGAATGAACTCGTTTAGCTTTAATACTTATTGCTCTTCAAAGTGGCAGATTGTATTATTTACTATTCAATAAAAAAATAATTAATTCCAAACATTGAATATTGTCTTATCATACTAAAAATTTCTTGTTGATCACAAATATATATGATCACAATTTACTTATTTATGTAAAATACCTAGTTGCACCAGGAGAAAAAACAAATGAAATGAAAATCAAACAATATATTTATTCAATTTTAAAACTTTATAATATACCTTCTTAAACGTACGATAACATATTACTTTCTTTAATCATCATAATCAAAAACAAGTTTTATTATGGCACATGGTATATAAATTTTCACATAAATATCCATAAACTATCTATGTACAATCATATCACAATAAATTCCATCCTATAAAGTATATAATAATGTATAAACACTAAGCCCATTGTTGTTGTTTACACAAAATTCCATAATAACATTGAAAACATCAATTTGTAATTTGCATATTGTTCACAACTTAAATATTTAAAATCCATGCTTCTCGCAACAATCATAGAAGTTATTTGCCTGTATGTTGCAATGAGTGTACTTAATGCATAGTCATTATACATTTTTTTTATTAATGACTTTTTAAAGATTATAGAATTGAAAATTAACATTATTTTAAAAAAAACAGTTAATTAAGAGAAATGTTGTTGATTGTTTTGGTTTTCAGCAATGAAATAAAGCTGAAAAATTAGTTATTTTGTGTAATTTGGGTATAATGGTAATTTTCTATGTAGAAACTGATACAAAATATTACATAAAAAAACTTATAAAAATAACATTATATAATTTTCCATTAGCTGCAAAGCAAAAATGCTGTCAAGATATTCATTCATAAATTCTAATAAGCAAGTTACTAGTTGTAAAATAAGTTAATATTTCTTTATAATAAATTAAGAAAATACTTTATAACTTTATATATATATATATATATATATATATATATAATATATATATAAACTATAATGTTGGGATGTTAACGACTTAAATTAAATTCTCTTTTTAAAATGTATATTAAGACCGTTTGTTAATTTTACAAATTTCTTCTTTATTTAGTATACAGAATTAAATAAAGATAATAGTATATTTTAATATCACAAGTCGATTCAGCTTTACAATCAAAGTGAAATAAAAAAAAAAAAATCATTTGTGTGAACGTTTCAGCACAAGTTATAGGCCTTCGTCAGGGCTGCTCGTTCAAAATATGACATCATTATAAATATATATTTTTTGTCTGTATTTTATTACTGTAGTCAACTCTATTTTCACAGGGTATTCCCCGAAAAAGAAAAATTCAATCATTCACTTTGACTGCTAACCCAAATCAACTTCCCCTACAGTAACTATATAAACTCTTGCTGTAAACTGTTTCTAGATCATTAATATTTTTTAAAGCCATTGAGCCAATGAAACAATTATTATTAAAGTTAAAAAAAATAATTAATTTTAATTGTACAAGTGTACACTCACAACACTCGCTACACAATACATTTTTTAGACAAACCAATACTTTTTTTTTTTTATAAATTAACCATGCAGCTGTACGGCTGATCTACTAGATGCAAACTGTTTTGCAATTATATTGAACAAATTTACTGATATTTCAGAACTAGAGCTATTCACTAAGCCACTTGCAGAATATCGAAGTATTGTATGCTCTAATATTCACTTCATCTCGAAACACTTGGATGAATAAAGGAGGATTGACTCGAAGAGTTCTGGTTCGACTAGCTCACTTGCATTCAAGCTCTTAACAGCATCCAATCCGCAGTGTTTGGTTATTTTCCTCAATGTTACCTTTAAAACATAAACAAACAAAAAATAATGATAAATCACATATTTACATATTTTCAATTGAAATTTGTATACTTGTATCCAACAATATTGAGGTTGACTCTTATCTAAGAACCCTATATTCAATGCTGAACGAAAAAAATGGGCTCAGCCGAATATCTCTTTTTTTATATAGGAAATAAACTTAATAAAATAAATTAAAAAAATTATAAACATAAAACAAAAACCATATCTGGCCAAAACAATATACAGGGTGCCCCGTAAGTAGAAGGAATTTTTTGTAGGAGTGATAGCACACCTTAAGAGCTATGAAAAATTCCTATAGACAACAATGGGCCAATTTTCATCAGCAAAGTAGGAAATCCAAGTTTTTTTTTTTATAGAAAGCGATAATTAAAGAAATATTTAATTTAAATAATTAACAATTGATTTTTTTTTCAGTGTAAACAAGACAAAACTTACTTCAAATTGAAATAGAGGTTTTCGTTGTTAAAACCATTTAAAGAGTTCTTTTGAGCGGCTAAATTAATCCTAATTATGTTTTTAAAAAATCATAAATTATTCGCGATTTTTTTTAACCATCCCCAAATATACTATAGATACCCAACTTTCCGAAAAACTTCCTCGTTTATTAAGCTTTTAAATCCATATTGATTGAGTTGAGATTTGTTAGGCAAAAAACTTGAGATTCCTCTCAAGTTGTGTAAAGAAATGATGTGAATTTATATCCTGTCACCCAGGGATGCCCATCCACCCTAAGGTCGATGGCGCAAGAACCAGTCCCTCCTCCCTCCCAAGATATTTTATTGCTTCATAAAAAACAGTGCTAGCGAAAGTAGAATTAGAAAAATCATATACCATATGCAATTAGACTTACTGAGGTATGTTCCATGTTTTCTCCTTGCCCCATGGTTTAACTCTTCATTCCAGAAAATTCATAACCCCATCGAAATTTGTCTCCCCCCCTCAAAAGTTCAGCCCGTTTATTTACCCGTGTGATAAATAAAAATAAAATCGAAAGAAAAAATCTTATAACATAAAGAAAAAATATACAAAAGGTAAGTAATAAATATAAACTAAGCTTTACATAATATACTAAAACTTACAGATCACCTTGTTTAGCATTTGTCTGACTGGATTTTGAACATGAATTAGAATTGTATGGTTTTAAATGTGCACAATGAAGGGACGTGAAATATTTTAGAAGGAAAAAAAAGTAGTGATTAAGGAATAAAGGAATGTTGAAATTATGGTGATCTAAATAGGAAATTATTTACAGAAGAAGGGCGATGGTTGTAAATTGTTTAAAACTTTTTGCAATAATTAAACAGGTAAGTACTTACCAAACAACAGGCAAGAACACTGTCATTATTGTTCCTTTCGTTTTCTTCTTTACATAAACGAACTAATCTACTGACCCCTTGGAGTTCCGCGACTTGCATCGCTGCTTCAGAGTCATTACACAGCCTGCAACATAATGGAATATGAAAATATAAACTTGGCATTACAATAAATTATTGTATCATTATTTTTTCTAATAATTCCTTTTAATGCAATTCTAATTAATAAAGACTAAAGAAGGTTCGCTACCCTAGATTTGTTAGGTTTGGACAAGTTCCTGAACTCATCGATGGCAACGGAAATACATCACATCGTTGAATTCAACGACGGGATTCAGCGTTGAAATTTATTTATCAATGTCTCATCGATGGTTCAGCAGATCCATCGGCTTTTAGGATCGATTAATTCGCTGGATGTAAATTCACGATAACATCGGTGTGGCTATTTTTCAATTTACTTTGCATATTTATATTTACTTTACTCTCAATCTATACTTATTTCTGTCTCAAAATTAGATAATTCAGTAGGTAGGTGTTCCTTATATATTTTTTTTATTTTTTGTACGTTTTGTAACCTTCAGGAGTCTTAACCTTTCTCTGGAATCCAACAGGTCGTTCCTAAACTCTGCATAAATTACTATCAATGCTGGATCGATTGATTTGAATCAAGATTGATTCGCATTGATCGGAACTTAAGATTGATGGATTTCATCGCTAGAATTATCGCTGCATTAAGTAACTTGCCCTCTTGTTTAAAATGTATTATACATAACATTTCAAAGAACCCTTATTTTATTTCATTGGCTCATTTGACCTTAAATTGAATATTCGACGAAATTTTTAATTTAAAAATTGTTTCCATGTAATAATTTGCCATTTTCTTCATAAGCTAAGAGCAGTAAACAGTATAAAATAGTCTTGTAAATTATTACTTTTACTTTTCAGGACTGTTTATTTACGAAATAACAAGCATTTCTTATCTTTAATCGTAGTTTTATTTTACATATTTATTGATTATAATTATTATTTTTTTAGCACATTGCAGAAACCAGTAAGCTTTTCTACTGGCTATCCGAATGTGTACAGTATAATTTTATTGATTATATTTTATTAATTAATTAAATTTCCCCATTCATGGAATAGTTGCTTTTACTGATATAATACAAATACATTTTGCTGCAGTACCGTACATTTTCCTCTCACCATTGTATTCAATGGTTGTATTCATTCAGAATGTAATTACGTTTAATGGCTTCTATATATTCACATAGCAAGACTAAATCAGCAGCAAACTCATTGATGAATATTTAAACCTCCTAAAATAAACATCTTCCGGAATGAATTACCCTTATAATAACGTATTCTGGTGGTTTTAATTTATTAAAACAAACATATATAATTCCTCTTGGTTATTAAGGATTGCGGTATAATACTTAATAATAATTAACAACGTTAGGCACAGAATGGAGAGAATTCGCGAGCATGAAAAAAATTGTTTTTTTGAACTGACCTAGACAGGGCTATGACAGCCTTGTGCTGGACCCTGAAGGTGGCATCCTTTTCCGCCGAGCTCTGGAGGGGAGAGAGTGAAACTTGGAGAAAACAGAGCAGGGCAGGTACGGCCCTATTCTGCGTCAGGTGCGGTAGGATTTCCTTAACGCCAGACATGTTCGCAAGAAGCGTTACAGCTTGTTCCTTGAGAAAGATGCTTGCTTTCGGCCCTAGGATCCTAACTGCCTTAAGGAGGGTACCTGTGCTTGAACAGTATACCAATGGCCAAATACTCTTCGGTTCGATGCAGCTGATGTTGGCCAAAGCTGCAGCGCAAAGCAGCAGCATTTCGCTGGATTGGGACTGACTGATGAGGCCTGAAACGGAGAAACAGCCATAAGGATAAATTAGTACTTAAAAGAAAGAGAGAACAACAAGATCTAGAAAATATAATCCGAAATATGAATTACTTATTCTTTTATAACCATAACTACGTAAGCAATAGAAAAGTTATCAGAAATATAATTTAGACAAACTTACGAGTGATAGATGCTATGAGTGGTTCCAATTGTTTTTCCATATTTTGTACAGTAATTTCTAACCACGGGGCCGTCACTTGGACGAGGAGTGAAACCGCTCCACAGTATTCTGCTTCGCCTTTCGTAGTGTCCGTCAGGATATCCGACAACAATTCCACACCTCCGCTCTGAAAAACCAAACTCGGTGAGAATATTTCGTTCCAAATTTTTTAATGCCAGGATATATTGAAGCGATACTAACGTTTTCAAACTGCCTGACGCTGTCCGGCGTGCAGCAGATCGTCGACAGGATGTTTAGAGCGGCCGTGTGTACTGCGGGACTGGAACAATTGACGAAGACAGACAGTAGGTGGCTGATCCCTGAACAATAAGCCATCAAGTCCGCTAAGTGCGAAACATGAAGTCCTAAGCTCCCAATGCCTGAGAGGATTATCGCTAAAGAAGATGGAGATTTTTCGTTTTTCAGTAAGTCTATAAGCATCTGAAAAATATAAGAAGGTATATTCCATTAAATGAAACAATAAAATGGATGAGAAATAAAAAAAAAATCGGTGAATGAAATAATTTATTCAAAATAATTCATATTTTGTGGGGTCTATTACATGGTAAAAATATATCAGCACACCCCCTCCTATTTTGTTAAAGGTACTTCAATAGGAATGTAAACATCGATAATATATATATATATATATTACTTACAATCAGATATAAAAAATAAAAAAACCTGTACCACTACAACCCATGAAGGGTCTTGGGTTCAGTACTATTTAGGGAAAGCACTGTTTCTTGGTCGACGGTTGTGCAAGGAGGTGATTTGACCAAGATAACGCTCAACCGCCAGTTTTTTCTCCTTAATTAATTATTTTATGGGGGGTGTGCCCCAGGAGGGTCTACCTACCCAGGGTCGTCCCACGGCCAATGGAACAGAATAAATCATTTTTCTGCCATGAGCCGAGATTCGAACCTGGGATCTTTAGCATTGGAAGCTCAGTACCGCTGAGGTACCCCACTCCCCAATAAAATCAGATATAACAATGTAAAAATTGTAGAGCTTTTTATATACTTTTTTTTAAAATAGATTTTGGATAGTTAATTTTTAATATAGATATTAAAATATATCAAAATAAGACTATCAAACAAAACTATAGACATAATTTTAAAAAATATCGACATATCTACATTTTCCATCATATATATGCTTCAACTTTTAAAAGTTTAAGATTTCATTCCAAGTTGAGTTCTGACTAAAAATAATGAAGCACTTACAGCAGATTTCGTAATAGAGTTATTAATGCTAACATAAACTGTAAACATCATTTACTGTATTAATTAACAATAGAATTTCGGCAGTAAGAGAGCTTAATTTACGGTTGATATTCTAGTTCTGTCAGGCTCTCCAAATAAGCATTTGATGCCCCTGCAAACGGATTTGACTGTTCCAATTACGGATTGTAATATTTCTCAATAAACAAGTTTAAAAAAATAATTGTTCCAATAATAGCTGATGCACTCGATTGTAGCATAGACATGGGAAAACGACGTGTACGTTGCTAGATACTCAAGCTTTGAACGATAAACCAATCAATACTTTATTTTAACGTGGAAACCGCATACTAGACTTAAGAGACAGGAACTTAACCGACGTTGTCCAGATATAGCCAGCTATATAGACTAATGAATAGAAAATCTAAAGTTTCTATTGAAAACAAATTACTGATCTACAAGACAATACTAAAACCCATCTGGACCTACGAACAAGAAATGTGGTGGACAACCAAATTTTTTAACATCGAACGCATTCAAACCTTCCAGTCTAAAGTCCTCCGTACAATAGTCGATGCTCCCTTCTATGCCACCAATAAAACCCTTCATAATGACCTTAATATTCCATTTATTCTTGATCTTATCCCACACAAATTTTCCAAATTTCATCAGAACTTTACTCATCCCGTAGTACAGTCCCTATTTAGCACCACCCATCCCTACAATCCTCCTAGCAGGTTAAAACTGCAGTGGCCTCGTGATCTTTTGTAACATGTATATATTGGAGTTCTGGCAATGGTCAGATTCTGAACCCAAGTCATGAGTGTCTGTGGTTGTAGCGCCCTAACTCAGCATCCGCTGGAGATTTAATATCAGTGAAGTGGTTGAGGGAGAAGCGTTGGGATCTCCTGAAGCCTCCCTTTTTCCTCCACAAGTGGGGGGACAAGTCTGGTTCGGAGTTCCTATGACCGATTTTAAATAGTGTAAATAGGTATGCCTGCGTCTAAGATGTTAATTTTTATTACTTTTTTTATTTATTTTTTATTTTAAGAACATTTTAATTCTATTTTATTTATTTATTTTTATTTTATTATTACTTTTATTTATATTTTCATCCCTTATTATGATATTTTATTTTGTTCTTACTTCGCTGTATATTATTTTGAAATTACCTTATTTATTATTTTTATTTTGTAAATATGGTGTGAATGTGCTCTCTGAACTCTATTATAAGTGTCCTTTCTTGAGACAGATTGTAATATTTATCAATAAGCAAGTAATCTAAAAAAAAAATACTTAGTTTCATCGATAGATAATAGGTTTCACCACTTTTTTTACGAGTTTAGGGGCTACATAAAACCACATGTTCATAATTTGCCTAACAATGAAGGCTTAGTAATAAACCTAGTTATTGGCCCTATAAGCACTTAACGAAACATTTGTATTCTACCAATGACCGTCGTGTGCTGAAAAAGGAACGTTGATAAAACATTTCCTTAGGAAGGAGGATATAGAATGTCTCCAAAATATAAATAACAATAATAAAAGACCTAGTGACCCTAAAGTTCCCATGCAGATGCCACCAATCTACGTACTCCCATCAACTTAAATTATATTTATCGGGTGCAGTTCACGCAATTCGGTAAATATACAGCGTTGTGTAACCGTCTAAATCCTCCGCTAGAATTTGCTCATTTCTTAATGTTGGCGGTCATGTTTCTCATCTATAAATCGTAGGAAGTATTTTTTTTTTTTTTTTTGTTTATTGATAAATATTACAATCTGTCTCAATAAAGGACATTTATAATAGAGTTCTGAGAGCACATTCACACCATATTTACAAATTAAAAAAAAAAAAAATAAGCTAACTTCAAATAATATAAAGCTACAAAAGAACAAAATAAAATATCATAGTGAGAAAAAAAAAGTAATGAAAATAAACATCTTAGATGCAGGCATACCTAGTAGGAAGTATAACATTATTGTAAATTCTAATTTTTAAGTATCAGGATAGAAGGCGCGGAACTAAATAATTTTGCAGGCGAAATAATTTGCCTTTTAAATAGCCTTAATTTCTTCTATAATTTGTTTTATTCTTGTCATCGCAGACCTTAATAGATAGCTATGAGTGATAGGTTTTCTCTAAGTGTTCAAGTGTATTCCCGTCTGCATCTATATCTCCGAAATTTTGATTCAATGAGGAGCTTCTTCGTATTACTACTAAATAGATAGGTATGAAATACGAAGGAATTTGATAATTAACTAAAGAAGAAAATGGGAGAAATATATTCGCTGGCTGAAAACAAATTTCCGGAAAAAAAGAGTAAGATAACATAGATGTATTATATACCGTTGGGAAATTAAAAATCTTAGAAAAAAAATATAACGTATATGGTCATTTAATGTAATTGAGATTGAAGAAAAAATAATGCCTTTAAATGTTATAGTTTTATATTATATTAACGAGCTATAAACATTAGCATAGTGACTAAGTAGAATTTTGATAGACAATGTATGGAAAGCAAAACTTTTTTTTTCGTTTCGATAAACCAAATATATAGATTGTAAAGAATTAAAGTTTGTAATAATAATTAAAATAATATTGTGAAGTTGTACTAGACTTTAAGACATTAATTTCTAATGAGAGAGGAGTGGTAAGTGGAAGATATGAACTGCATCGCACTGTTGCGATTAATCATAGTTTTTCATAATAAATATATAATGGTAGTCAGTATTACCTTAATATAGTTAAGAAGTATTTGTTCAACTTTTTTCGAAAATAGCAGAGCCACAGTTTTCATGATTGATTTTAAATTTGGAACATCTTTTTCCCTTGAGTTGAGTGTTGAAAACGCTATCTGTAAACCACTGCAGTCAAAATCTTCTGTGTACTTTTCGTTGTGTTCGGATAAAATGTTTACCATGCGTTGTGTGATTCTTTCGAACTGCCTTCCACTGCCCTTCAAGTTACCTTTGTTTATCTTCCTGTGAAAAAAATATGATGCCTGTTTACAATTATAACAATACTAAAGCTTAAATTAAGTTACTGAAGATCTTATCATAGGCTACCTGTATAGCAGATTGAGTTTTGAACAAACGCTGGAAAGTTGTCTGTGAAGTGATCGTATTGTATTCACAACATAAGACGTCGTTCTTGTAACGTTCTCGTTCGTACCTGCTGTGATTGGTTTGCTCTGAAGTGAAGACGTGCATTCAGGATCACACAGGTATCTCACTTCGCTGAGCCATAGTTTTACAGGGGAGTTCCTGAAAGATTAAAAAAAAAAAAAAAAAAACATTAAACGTATAGCTCCATAAAACTTCATATCAATTTCAGAAAATGTTCATGTCATAAGATAGTTGATATTTGACACTACCGGATTCAAGGTTATCGGTTAAAGCCCCTCCACCACCTCCTCCCCTCCCAAAAGGAAACATTTATATTTGTTTATATGATTTATCTGAGCCAAACAATTAAAAAGCACAATATGTTCTCTATTTAATTTATGAAGCACATTTTTCAGCTACAAAATAGAAGTTTCTGTCAATATAAAATATGAATGAATATTTTATCTGTTTTTGGGGAATGTTCTAATAATAAATCAATATACAACAATAACAATTCAACAACAATAAAGTAAAAATAACAATTCAATGTGTTACAGAGACATCATCTCAAAACAACAACCAAAGATCTGCATACCACATGATAAAATATAATAATGACACTTATTATATTTATTTATTCTGGTACAAGTCCCTTTATAATAATATACTAGGATAGAAATGTGGACTTAGGTACCTCAGGGATATATAAGAAGAATCAAAACATAAACAAATAGACGTAATAAAAAAAAATGCAGGTCAACTTATGACAATCAATTAAAAAAAAATGAAATAAAAATAATTAAAAAAGAACTAATGATTTGAAGAGAAACTACCCATTGGTACCCATTCGATGGTTTAGTAGAGTCCCAAAGCTCGGCCCCGAGTCTTTTACAAATAGTAGGAAGTTTAGAGCGTTTGTCTAGTAAGTGCTGCAGTAGTCGAAAACGGATTTGTTCAACAGGGATAAGTGGGGTATTGTTAAAGGATGCTGTACGACAGGAAGTCATAGGTTTACGACGTAAAGGTAATCTGATGGGATTTTTTGGAATTTATTTTAATCCTCCAGTTTTGGCACCATTTTTCAAGACTTGTGATATGTTATTGATGAGTTTGGGAAGCAATAGATTTATCGTTATTAACTGATAGGATACACGTGTCATCGGAATAGGTGGTGATGACACTGTTGGAATACTAAAATTAAATGTATATTTGAAAAATTAATGTACAAATGGCTTTTCATTTAAGATCTTTTTATTGAGAAATAATACATTTTGCCACAGTTAAGGGCACTGAGTACTAAAGCTAAGTGAGGCACATTCATACTATATTTACAAAAGGCTAGTTTACATAACAGATAATAACCAACCGACAGTTCGGCGGACATATTTAACATTTCAGGAGTAATAGATAAAAGATGAAGAAGTGGATAAGAATTAATAATAAATAATAAGGTATATTTTATGGTATATACAATTTTATTTATGAGTATTTTGTTAGTAACGTATAATTTTTTTATTAAAAACAATAATAATAAGAACCTAAGCAGGATAGAATACCTCAATAATGGTGAATATACAGAAGAATTGAATGGTTAGAAATAAAAATGATTCATTAATCTCGTTGTTGAGGGAGGAATTTTTATATGTGTGTATATATATATATATATATATATATATATATATATTTTTTTTTTTTTTTTTTTTTCGTTTTCGAACCAATTGTTGTGCAAATAAAAAGTAATCGAGTTTTTATAATTTCAAATAAATACAGGAATCGGTGGAATTGAATGGCAGTGATAAAGCAATAAATCCTGAGTATGATATGGCAGATGAAAATCCAATCCAGGATCGTTCCCCACAGACGTCAACCACAAGCACTGAATTATCATTTCAATACAACGAAAAACAACTCTGCATATAAACCATTTTCACATGATCCGGGGTGGAAGGAGTGGGGATAATGTCCTTTTCATAATAACAGAACTTGAATTAGAATTAGACAAGAAAAGAATGTCAGACATTCGTAATATAGCCCAATTTATTGCATGATTTTTAATGATTACAAGTGAAAAAAACAGAAAAGCTACTCTGATGGATTGAGAGTACCTATTACAGTTTCCATGGAATATTTTAAGATTAATGTAAACTAATTCTCAGTTAAAAAAAAAAATGAACATTTAAAATTGCAGACTATAACTTGTTTTTAACCATTCATCAAGTGGTTACAGAATTCCTTAATGAATTGTTGGAAAAATCAATAGATTTTAGCGTGATCCTTAAGACATGTAACTACTTTCTAATCTAGTACCTTGAATCTTGATGAGTTGAAGTAGTAAACCTTTTTTTACTTTATTAATCTTTGTTTGTTCTTTTACTTCCTAATGAATTGTGAAATGATTTCCTTTGGACTCATCAAAATAGATAATTATTTATAATTGTGGGTTTATGATTGATTGTAGTGAATAATTTTTTTTTTATATTTGTTTATTTAGAAATATTACATTATTTATTTCTTAGTTCTATGTTACTGTTATCATTCTGCCTACTTTGACTAAATTATTAGTCTAACCTTTCACCTTTTTTAATCTTAATTCTGTATTGTAACCAAGATTAAGAAAGCACTGGAAACAAAACAAACACTACTCTCTTTTGTTTCCTGAGCGAGATGACTAATTGATATTTTAGCATGTGCATGAACTCTTACATCTTATTGTATCTTGACTATCTTTTCTAGATGTTGGGATGTGGCATGCCATAATATTGTATATAAATAAGTATCTTTTTTTTTTTATTTGTATTATCTTTATTATAATTTAAATATCTTCCTTTTTATCTTTAATTGTATATAGTAATTATGTTTGAATTCCTTCTTTTTCCTTGTATTTTATTTCTTTTTATTGTACATAGTATTAATTCTGTAAATATTTCTTTTTGTAAATAGATCTGTTAACCTTTTTCGCTGCTTTATAAGAAAATATTTAACCTAGCCCTTCTCACCTGAGCTAGCATGGTAGAATAAATGATTTATCATTGCCAAATCATGGGTAAGTAACTTATATTCTCTATAATTATCTCTTTAGAGATGAAAGCCTAGTAAAGCTAGGAGCCCAACAAATAAAAATTCCTATGGAAAATTATATTTATTAAAAATTATTTTATTAACTTTTATTTATCCTTTTTTTGGTCATAGTATTATTCAATGTTATTATGCCTATTGTTATCTGGTTCTTTTTCCCAGCCCTGATGAAGGCCTGAACTTCGGGTCGAAACGTTCGACGAATGTAAAAATAAATAAAATTATTTATTTTTTACCATTTTAATTTGACTGATCACCTCAACCATCCTTCTCTTCATATAATTATGAAGAGATATCTAAATCGATGGAGAGACATCGATAACTAACATTAGACAACTGCTTTCCAATATCTATTAAGGACCTTTTTTAACAAAGTATGCTGTTATCATTTTGGAATAAAAGAAAAAAAAATTACTCAAATATCTAAAATAAAAAAAATTAATATTTTAAAAAAGTAAAAACAATTCTCGACTAATGAATCGAAATTGTTAACTCTTTTAAGCCGCCTTTTTTGGTGCTTAGCTTTCTCAACAAAGCACACTTTTTTCCCTACATGCAATTTGTGGCGAACGGAGTTTTGGTAGTAGTGGGTTAAACAACTCAACACACCAATTCAGGATTAACCTGAGTTTGTGTTCTATTGTCTTAGCTTTTGGCATATTTTGTTATTTTTTGCGGATAAGATCTGATGTAGCAGGGAGAATTACAGGCGTTGGAAATCTGGAAGTTTTATTACGCCTTAAAGCCCCAACAAACAACAACCAGGATGGAATATCTGAATTTTATCTTGAGCTCCTCCTTCTTTTTCAAATGTTCTTTTCCTTACAGCTTCTCATCCAGTTTTATTCCTAGAAGGGGTACACTCCCCTAAGATCCATAGCGCATGCCCCTGTCCCAAGAATTTTCATTGCCCTCCTCTTCTTAAAAACAGCGTAATCGAAAAAAAAACCAGAAAAAATGTAGATTATTTCCAATCTTATCTTCCATGTTTCCTCTTGTTTCCTGTTTTAAAAGTTCCTCCAAATTGAATCTCCAGGAAGATATGCTTTTTTTCAAGAATTCATGATTATGTCAATAATTTAGAACACTGTAAAAATCCCCCCACACATAAAAACTGTGGTCTAACTTGCTCTAACCAACCCTCTACTGGGCACCCCAGATTCCTTAACAGTATTTGAATATGGAATTTCGTGTCTGTTTTTGCTTAAACCTTTGCTTAATTATTTTTGAAGCTTACTTGCACAGAATTATTAATTAAATTGCTTAAAAAAAATAAAAATATGCCTATATCATAAAATATTAATGATTCGTTCATACTTACTTGTTCATCTTTTATATATTACTCCTGTCTAAATATATTAATTTGCAAATAAAGTGGATCATTCAAATAAGATGAAAAACAGCACACAATTCTTAGTAAAAAATTGGTAATATAATTTAGAAAAAGGTAATATAATTTTAGGTTTTTAAAAGTAATAAACCTACAAAATTTGCAAACAGAAAATTGTTTGCAAATTGTATTTCATTGACTTGATAAATTTTATTAATTACTTTGCTTCAGTATTTATAGAGGTATATTTCTTATTATCAATTTGAGGCTAGCTTGAGAGATCGTCTCACATTCCTCTAAGACTGATGTGTGCTGTTCATCCAGAGAAAGTTTGTAGAAGGTTATTCCGTCCTAAAGTCCGTCTTTGAAGTTGATCCGATATATATTAAATGGGATTGAAATCTGGAGAGTAAGCAGACCAATCCTGGCAGCGGTGCAACCTTCACCGGTGCAATCGATGCACCATCATCCTTCTTCTATTGTGTGAAGGATAATTTGCAACTAAGAGGCAGAAAACGAACTTCGGCAAACCTTCGATAAATGTAGAAGCGATTCCTTCTAGCCCGGAGAGTCAAATTTTGCTGTTACATTGTTATATCTTTGACGTCCTCTACTATGTGTAAATTAAAAGGAAACACTGGTCTGGTAACGTCTCCATGTCTAACTTACCACACTTTGAGAGATTCGCCACATTTCACACAGCTATTGCAATGAAGGATTCTATATGTCTTCATCTAGCTTGTGAAGAAGCAACAGCTGTTGCAAGCTCTGCTGCTGTAAGACGTCGTACAGACATTCTTTAATACCCAGAAGAACTTATAAAAAGGATCCTATACTTCAGCACTTTTTAGACAAACGCCCTACGCTCCAATTAATTTCAAAGACTTATATACATGACTATAATAAGAGTTATTTAAAGAGGGCACCTCGAAAACTTCTGATGTAAAACTTTTATTAGAGTGCTACCAATAGTTAGTTTATATAAAAGTCTTTTCATTTCATTAATTTTTAATTTCACATTGAACCTGCGAGTGTTGAACTGATACATGTACACATGATATATAAAATACAGTGTCAGTTTTAAGGTTGATACCGAAAATCTCAATAGCCAATGCTCGGATGTAATTAATAAAGAAATAAAATTATTATATCTCAACTTTCTATCAACATACAATTATACAAAATTACTTACAGTTAATATATTTTAAGCCAATTACAATTTTTATTGAACCATTTTAAACATTTTATAGACATGATAAAATACGAGGTGTTTGAAAATTTCTATTAAACGTACTAAACCAGGTAATTATCAGCTAATTAGAGTTCTGGAACGTCCCTTTTAAAAACTTAAAAGGGAATCAAGTAGCTGATACCCGAGCTCCCTTTTTTTTTCTCTCTCTCCCCCTTTGATCCTTCCTTCCTTAGGGCCTAACAGATGTCTCTTATCTTTCTACAGTCAAACACATAAAGGCCTCTATAGAACCGCAGGTATTTTCATTTAAAAAGAAAAAAAGAATGTCTTATTATATTGTGAAGTATTACCTGTCGTTATAAATCTGATATACATGGTCGTTATTTAGGCATTATAATGCGAACTGATCGCGGCCTAAACATTCTATTAGTAACTAGAGAACTAATGAAAATTAACAATCTGTTTTTGGTTTTTATTTTGGGTGAAATTTGTACCTCTAAAATCGTACGAAATTGGACAATGACCCATACATCATTTACAGCCGTAAAACATCATTTAGAAATTAATACTATAGTCGTTCATTAAATAGAAATATATGGTTGTTATTTGGGCATTATACTGCGAACTTTTCGCGGTCTAAACATTCTATAAGTATTAATTAATTAATGCTCCTATTAATTTTTCGCTGATATATATATATATATATATATATATATATTTAAATATATATATATATATTTTTTTTTTTTTTTTTTTTTTTTTTTCAATAAATTTCTTTATTGAGTGCTACTACAATATGTCTCAATGAAGGTCATTAGTAATAGAGTAGCTCATTCACAGTCCACGTATAATAAATAAAAAAAATTAAATGAAACTGCAGCAAAATAATATTACAAAAAAAAAACACATTTATAAACAAAAATAAATGAAAAAAAAAAAAGAAGGCAGGTGGAAGATTTATTTATTTTCCTGATAAGAATATTATTTCCGCCATCTTCACGTTTCAGCGGCCAATATTAATTGATGAGAAGGGATTTTTAGCAATTATCATTGGAATACTATCTTGAAGTGAATAGTGAAAAAAAAATGTTTACATCATTCTTTTTTTTTTTTTTTTTTGTGAAATTCGAACCTCTAAAATCGTACGAAAGAATGACCCATACATCATTTACAGTCGTAAAACATCATTTAGAAGTCAATAAAATAAAATTAATACGTACCATTCTCTGGAACAATAGATGCGTTCTTCCATTTGGCAACGCTTGATCATATGTTCCTTCGTTTTGGGAGTGGAAGAATGTGCAGGAGGCGGTAATGTGGAGAGGTCGTCGCATGAGGATCTGTTGTCCGAATCGTCACATCGCTTGGCCCCACAATAATTTGCCAGGACGGTGCCGTGCCCTTCCGAATCGGAGAAGCCCGAGTCCTGGCTCTTGTGGCTCGTTTCAGACAGGCTTGGCTGGGGGGTGCTGGCTTTCTCAATGTTCATCGTTGTCTAAAAATGACAGAAAAAAAAATCATCAAAATCCTCGTTCATCAAAAAGAATAGTGTTACTATTAAGAGACTAAGACTAAGGATATGCAATAAAATTAAAATTTAAACGACTTGTGATAATAATTTAAATTTAAAAAATTAATAAATAAATTATTGTTAATTCTGTAAAAAAATATATTTTCCGGTGAATTTTGAATTCTTCGTACTAAGGTCAGGTTGTAAACCTATGACTTCCTGTCCTACAGTATCCTTTAATAATACCCCGCTTATCCCTGTTGAACAAATCCGGTACCTTGGACTCCACTTGGACAAAAGTCTTGGACCATTCCGGTATCATTGTTTAAACCTTAGATTTTTTTTATTATTATTATTTATGAAATTTACAGCTGTACATTTAATATACATTCAGCAAATGTGATGTATATAAATACATGACATGATAAGGCTTGTAGAGTATCTATCCATTGGTAGCACTCTAATAAAGTTTCTAAATTAGGGGATTACGAGGCCATCTTCTTTTTCAGAGGCCTAGGAAAGTTATAAGGAATCGAGGAGGAAGCAAGGTTAGAAACGAGAGGATTAGGACGGTTCTGAAGTTTATTATGGAGGGATAGGTATCTGGATTGGGCCAAATCGGAAACATGGCACATTCAGGTCATTATGGATTTAGAATTTTTAAATTTGACAAACTTGGACAAACGTCTAACTTGGAATCCTCATACCAGACTGAAACGACAAGAAACTGCTCGACGTTTCGGATTACATACTAGACAAATGTTCTATGCTTCAAGTTAATTACAAAAGACTCATATACATGACTGCAATAAGACCTATCTGGACATACGGAGTTGAGATTTGGGGGTCCACAAAGCCATCGAATTCCTCCCGCATCCAATCCTTACAAACCAAAATGCTCCTTACTTTGTCACTAATAAAATCATCCATAAAGACCTTAATGTTCCTTATGTTTCCGAATTGGCCCTATTCAGATACCTATCCTTCCAAAATAAACTTCAGAACCATTCGAACCCTCTCGTTTCTAACCTTGCTTCCTATTCGATACCTGATAACCCTCCGAGGCATCTGAAAAGAAGATGGCCACGAGATCTTCTATTGTAATACATTTTTTTTTCTTAGAGTGCTACCAGTGGGTAGTTTCTCAATAAGTGTTTTCATGTTTTTATTTTCCGTTATCACATTTACTTAATGAATTCTTTCTTAATACAGTTGTAAATATCATAAATAAAAAAAAAATCAGGCTTCATCTTCGCACATTAAACTGTGGATTTAATTTCTTTCTGTTTTATTTCTGACTGCATCACCTATCATCATATGTTAAAAATAAAGAAAGGTTAGTCAGCGTGCATTAAATGTCGCCCACCCTTATATGTATATCTGTAGGAAGAGACAAAGGAGCCCTTGTTTTTGGAACAAGTCCAAAAACGTTCAGACGTCGAGAAACTGAAATTATGACGGCGAATAAAAAGAAAGGGAAACTTGATAAATTTGCAGATACCAGCACACAAGAAAAACATTTATTTCGTCATCAACAAGGCTAAAAATCAAATTCAAGAGGTAGAAAATCGAATCAGAAAGAAAACTTAAATGAGATTGAATCTAAAATATTTTGAAAAGCCATATAAGAAATTAACCTCAATTAGTAGCCGCCAATAAAATATTCCCAGATTCCGATCACTTCAAAATTTTAATTTATTACAAAGATTTTACATACAATAAAATTATTTCGCCTATTTGGTGATGTGGAATTGACCACTTGGTGCTCCACCAAACCATCGGATTCCACCCAAATCGAATCAAACATTCCTGAATGCTTTTGATGAAGTAACAAAACATTGCATACAGATATTAACATTCAAGATTTGGCAGATTCGATTCGCGATATATATTTATTTATTATTTCGACTTTGTACAATGTATAATTATTGTATTCCACCATACTCTCCTATAAAAACATTCCGCCTCTCGCAATCATCTTGCAGCCATTCCCCTTTTACTTCTTCTAGCCACATCATTTTTTGCCGTCCCCTATTTTTTCTATATTCTGGCTTGTTTAGGAAAACTTTTTTTTTGCCAAATTTCGTCTCTCATCCTTATCACATGGCCGCCTGGCTTAAATGTTATATACAATATGTTTCCCTGTCCTATATCGCTTCTAGTAGTTCTGTTAGATATATATTCTAGCCTTAAGAAGGTAGCTTCTTCTTAGAAAAACCTTGTTTAGCGGTAATATATTTTGAGCATATTGATGGTTTATTGTCCTGGTTTCGGCAACATATAGGACTGTAGAAATTATTGATATATTATTTTTTTTCTTTTTAAGGGGGGAAAAAAACCTGTACCCATGTTGTACCATTGTTCTGAGGTTTAGTAATGTTTCAAGGCCAACGGTTGTGCTGGGAGGAGATCGGGCCAGGATCACGCTCAACCGTCAGGTTTTCGACCTTAATTAATTTTTTTTATTAATGATACCCACTTTAAAAGGCTGGATGTGCCCTAGGAGGGTCTCCTTATCCTGAGTTGCCCCACGGCCAATGAAACATAATAAATAATTTTTCTGTCAGCCGGGATTCGAACCTGTGACCTTGAACATTGTAAGTTAGGTACTCTAACACAGAGGTACCCCCCTTTCTTTATTAGAAGGAAATATTCTTATTCCATAGCTCCAAATTAAGGATTCCAATAATTTTTCTTCCTCGGGATATCTTCTATTAAATACCTGTTTCAAGTCATACCTCATTGGATTAAAAATTACTTACACAAACCCAAAAGTTTATAAATCACCTATCATCATAGATAGGGTAATAGCTATTACCGATAACCTTCCGAGATGTTAGAAAATAAGACCACGGTATGTTCTAACGTAGAGTAGTCCGTGACATTTTATACTAATATCTTGGCATGCACATTTATTTGTAGTTATGTTGCACTTGTTAATTTTAATAAATACAATATAAAATATATTAAAAAAGGCAATAAATTATTACTTGATTTCCTGGTTTCTCTGGTTTTATCTTAGCATATTTTTTGAACTGAGGGCTTGTTAAGGCATAAATACGGAAGAATTGCCTATACGTCAAGGGAACAAATTTATCGAAACGCTAGAAGCACGTGTGAAAGCAATCAGTGGTATATTTAATGCCTCACCTTACTTTTTGTTGCAATATCCTCCCCTACCCTTACTTAATGCGAGCTGCCCTAAATCAAGATTGATGATCCAAGCAACGGAATTGAACCTATGTTCCCCCATTTGGAATTTTTTTTTCTCGTTTATTTATTTTTTTTATTTATTTATTGATGATATTTACAACTGTATTACAAATAAAAATACATTCAGTAAATGTGAACAAAAGAATGTAATAACATGAATTCACTTGATGAGAAACTACCCACTGGTACCACTCTAAAAATGTATTTACAAAAGGAGATCTCGAGGCCATCTTCTTTTCAGACGCCTCGGAGGGTTGTCAGGGATCGAAGAGGAAGCAAGGTTAGAAACGAGAGGGTTTGGATGGTTCTGAAGTTTGTTATGGAAGGATAGGTATCTGGATTGGGCAAGGTCAGAAACATAAGGAACATTAAGGTCGTTATGGATGATTTTGTTTGTGACAAAGTAAGGAGCAGTGTGGATTTTACGAACGATTTTGGATTGTAAGGATTGTATAGGGGAGGAATTCGATGGCTCAGTGGAGCCCCAGAGCTCAATGGGAACGATGGGATTTATTGGAAACTCTCGTTTTTTAAAAATATTTACAACTGTATTATGATTATCGATATTTTTTTAACAATAATACATTCTTACTGTTTCAATAAATTTCATTTCAATATTTCCTAAGCTTAGTTATAGGAATTATTTCTATGTCCAATGTTTTGGAAACGAAAAAAATCTTGATAAATCCATAATAATTATTAGGCTTTCCGGAAACTAAAACTCTTTGACGGATTATTTTGCATTTAACATGATTCGCATGTACTAGAATGCAAAAACTTCAGATTAAAAATTTGAAATTATATTAAAAAAACATGTACCACTAAATCCATGTATTCATCTTGAGTTTAGTAATTTGTAAAGGATTACTGCTACCAACCCAATGGTTTTGTAAGATGTTCGGCCATAATCACGCCCAATCACCATGGATGAATCCTAAATCTATTAAGATTATTAATAATAGAGTCTGGATGTGCCCCAGAAGTCTCTCAACCTTAAGTCATTGCTCATTTGAGCATTTTTGGCTCTCGGCGAAGTTGGGCTCCTCGACTGCAAGGATTGGCGCTTCATTTCAGGATCATCAAGTAAAAAACCACGTTCATCAACCTGCATTAAAAGAAACCTGATTTGACTCCTTCGAAGCCGTGAAAGAGACAGTGACAGGCGTCTTGAGGGAGCTGACAGAAAAGACTTTCACTAATTTTTTCAGACAATGTAAGATTCGCATGGAGCATTTTAGAAATAGAAGAGGGTATGTATTGAATGCGATAATTAGTAAATATGTAAAAATCAAAATAAAATATTCCATAGCATCGGTCTCATCTTTCAATAGCCGCGCATAGTAATTATAAAATACGTAGAAGAAAATCGGCATGTTTATTGTGAGGGCAAATATATGAACACTATTTATGAAATAAACAAATTATGCAGTTCTATTACACATTACATAGTTTGTGAGATTAACCGGCCCATTTCCAATTCACTGATATTTTGTAAACATTAATTCTCCCATGTTTTTTTTGTTTTGTTTTTTGTACCACTACAACCCATGAAGGGTCTTGGGTTCAGTACTATTTAGGAAAAGCACTATTTGTTGGTCTACGGTTGCGCAATCAGATGATTTGACCGAAATCACGCTTAAATGTCAGGTTTTCCACCTTAATTAATTATTTTATAGGGGGTGTGCCCCAGGAGGATCTACCTATCCAGGGTCGTCCCACGGCCAATGAAACAGAACACGGCCATGAACCGGGATTCGAACCTGGGA